ACAAAACAAAACAAAAAATTTAGAATTCTCTAAGAAATGTTTAGTTCCAAAGGGACCATTCATGCAAGTTTCTCTTCAGGCAAAGACATACAAAGCTCCACATACTGCCTTGAAATTTACTCAGAGGGAAAAAAGGAAGTAGGTATCTTTGAAAAGGCTTTTTGTGGTTAGTGCATGAGAATGTCCATACGAGGAAATGATTCTAAACTCCCTTGTTGTCCTGTTCGCACAGGACACTATCTCAAGTATAATTCATGGATCAGGTTCTTTTACTTACAAGAGAGCAAAGGGCTGTAAGTATAACCAGAAGTGAATTCATGGATCAGGTTCTTTTACTTACAAGAGAGCAAAGGGCTGTAAGTATAACCAGAAGTGAATTCATGGATCAGGTTCTTTTACTTACAAGAGAGCAAAGGGCTGTAAGTAATTTAGCTGAGGGGCTGGAGAGATGGCTCAGCAGTTAAAAACACTTGCTGCTCTTGCAGAGGACCTGGGTTTAGTTCCCAGCACCCTCACTGGGGAGCTCACTGTGGAACTTCGGTTCCAGGGGAATGGACTCCTTAGTCTGGCTTCCATAGGTATGCACATGGTGCACATACATGCACACAGGCAAACACTCATGCACATTAAAACAACAACAACCAAAACACCTTTTAACAATCCACATATGTGTGTGACAGATAAATTTTCCACCGTTATCATCCAAGCAGCTGCAGAACCTCATAATGAAGGTAGGAACTGAGGGTGGTAAATTAGATGATTTCTCCAAGGCAGCTCCTAACCAATGATCACAATTCTATCTTTCCTCATTTTGGTAGTTGGACCTTCATCCTACCATCTATAGTTCCCAGTCTCTGGGTTTTGCCTCTGTCCTCTCTACCCCCAGTTCCTTTTGGTTGCTCCTGCCCTTCACCTCGCACCTGCTGGTCCTACTCACCAAGGCTTGGACCACAGTCTGTTTGAGGAGAACAGAAACACACTTCCACAGAACTAAGCCCCTGCAGGACTGCATTCTGGTTAGGACACTACCAGGACATTGTTGTCTCCCTCTTTCAAAAGAGTAAGCAAAGCATGTTTAAATAATGATGCCAAATTCTTGACATAATGGAGTCCTTGAACCTTGGCGGATGGCACCCTCATTACCATCCCACTAGTGACAGAAGGTGACACTTCACTCATTCCACCTGGGTATGTGCACGTCCCCGGAGCTGGAATTTTGCCTCTGCCTTTCCTTGCTCTCCTAGCCCCTCAGCTCAGAATGCCCACCCTGGCCCACGCTGGCTCTTGTGAAACTTACTAAGCCATATTTCTCTAAGTGCCCATGACATGCTGGATATTGGCTGCTGTGTCATGTGATAGATTTTGGCCTTCTTTGTTCTTAGTTTTTAAATGGCTATCATCTTTTCCCTGTGTAGCCTCATCACCGTAGCCAGACCACAAACTGCTTGGAGAAAGAAGTTAGTTGTCTACAGTTTTGAATTTCTTCCTGTGCTTATGGTACATGGCTCATGGCTCAATTATTACTTTTATTATGTATAGTGACATGAAAAATTGCCAGTGGCCACAGAAAGTAAGACTGGACTATGAAAGTCCAATAAATAGTACCTGTTCACCCTGAGCAGCATCCTCAAGGTGCTAGGGAGTTTGGAAAATGACAGCCAACACTTAGTAAGTGCTTGCTGCATGCCTGACCCTCTTCTGAGTGCTGTATCTGCATACAGGTGGCAACTCCACAAAGTGGCTTACTATCCTCATCTTACAGATAAAGTGACTGCCTGATGCCCAAGTAGCCGATAGTTAATCAGTTTGGCAAATCCCGGAACCAAGATTCCAACCGAAGCAGTCTGCTTGCAGAGTCAGAGACTGTGCACTGCCTCTGTCCGGGTCTCAAAGAGGATGAGCAAAGAACAAGATGGGAAGAGCCCAGCACAAGAGAAAGAGCTTCCACAACATCTACCACTTTTGCTGCACATGTACGATGCTTCCCTGAGCAAATGTGTGGGAAATGATAATTGTTTCAGCCATCACTTTTCTCTAGTTTCTTATGGTTTCAGGTTGGTTTTTAAATATACTCACAGAATGGTTAGCTCCAAAACCAACACAGCCACTCCTTTTTCTTCCTCTCATTAGAAATCTATTTGATATATAATGCAAACTTTTCCCTATGTCTAATTATACTGCCAGAGACAAAATTATTTACAATTGGTCATGGTGGGATCACATTCTCCTGGTTAGAATATGATAATTAACTAATGACAGTGTCAGAAGTTCCCTAACTTTACTATAACTCAAGATAAAGATGTTATTGTCAGAGAGAAATTAAAATATAGAACAAGTATTATATACATAAAAAGTGAACACATGATATTGTGTAAGAACCAAACTGTGAATAAAATCACATGTGAATTGTTAAGTGACTTTCACTATGTAAACTCACCAGAACAGAGGAGACCAATCACAGTCTCCTAGCATCACTGAAGCTGGGAGTCTAGAATGATCTTAACTGCTATTTGTATTTATTTTTCTCCTAAATAAATACTGGGGGTTACAATGCACATGGTGCCAGTTATAAACACCTTGGTACACAGCTTGTTGTTAATGAGTCACTGAGGTGTTCCATGCGAGTCACCCCCATCTCCATCAGGCCTCTAAATCGCATGTCAGTTTGCCACATAAAACTTATAGGTGGCATAACTGATGGACTCAGAGGAGTGTTGAGTTTCTTGGGCAGAATGGTGGGGAAAGTAGTGGACTGGTAAGCGGGAGGCAGTCAGGACTCTGTCCTTCAAGAAAACGCAGGCGACATGCCATACACAGAGGCAGATTTGCTGGGGACCAAGTTAAGTAAGCACTGATGTGTATATGGGAAAGGCCCTGCCGTCTCTACCAGGGACATGGCTTTGTGGGGTTGGAACACACAGAGGGCGAAGGTCAAAAGCTGCCCCTACAGGACATTCTCATAACCTGGGTTGACACAGCCAGGCTGTTATTTCAACTTTTACCTCATGTGTGTGGTGCATGCAGAGGCCAAGGGAGGGCACTGAGGATATTCCTCTGCTGGTCTCTGCCTTATTGCTTTGAGACTGGGTCTCTCATGGAACCTAAAGCTCACTTTTCAGTTAGATTGGCCTGCCAGTGATCTCTCCGCCTGTCTCTGCCCCCCACCAATGTTGGAGTTACAGGCACATGTAGAGCAACTGCTCTAACCTACTGAGCCATCTCACTAGCTCCAGTTATTTCATTGTTAAAAGAAAATAGTTACTGAATTAAATTTGGGGGAGGCCAGATTGGCTATTATATTGAGTATAGTCTTTTTTTTTCATGGTACTCCAGAACCATGAGGCCTTAAGGGTTACACAGAGATGAATAATTCAAATAGATTTCAGGATGTGCAAATATCTCGACCTTTAAGACCAGTGAGATGGATCAGCAGGCAGAGGGGGCTTGCTGCCAAGCCTCATGGACCTGAGTTTCAGCTCCACTCATATGGTGGAAGGCAAGAACTGACTCCCCCAAGTTACCCTCTGTCTTCCACATGTGTGCTTTGGTATACACTGCCCCCCTCCCAAATAAATAAATGAAGTAAAAAATCAGAATCTCTAGCTTTACTAACTTGTTGTTTGGGTAAGGCATTTAAACGTGTAAATTAGCAAACGTTGTGATAATTAACAGTGAAAGAAAAAAATTAAAGTAATGATGAGGCACATGTCCCAGAAATCTCCCAGCCGTCACTGAGCCTGCATGTGGTTTTCTCTTTTGTAACACTGTACATTCTGGTTTTGCTGAAAGAAAGCAAACCAAAATCATGGATTTTATTGTTTGCCTCTGTCTCAAAAAGCCTCAGGGCTAATTTCAGTCCTGTCATAGTGTTCAGCTGTCTTGGAGGCCTTCTGCATGTTCAAATGGCATCTCTCCTAGTTATTTTGTGCTGTTTTGCCCAGTAAGGTATCTCAGGGCCCTTCCCATATAAGCAGGAAGATTTAAATCTTAACCGATGGAGATCTGAATACTAGAGCATTGAGGTGTGGTCTTGACTGGGATTAGTGTCTCTGTTTTCCATTCTTACAGTAAGCACTCAGGGTATCCATTGTCCCAAGATCAAATACATAATAAATTCGGTGCCAGTAACAATAATAAAGATACTATTTATATTGAAATGAAACTTTTCCTTTTCTTTTCCTCAGCTAGTCCTGACAGGTAGGAAGAGCGGGTGTCATGTCTACTTTATAAAAAGTTGACGTCATTAAAAGGCTGAGGCATGTTCCAAACAATGTGAACAAGTGGCACTGGGACCAGAATTCAGTTCCTTTTATAATCTGGCCAGATGTGTTAAGATCTGGACACCAACAGAAAGACTCGGCTACATCAAGCTTGTTGGAAATACCTTCTGATAAACCTGGTATCAGGAACAATGTGCTCGCATACACATTCCTGTGCACGTACTAATGGGGGCCTGAGGACACTGCGTCTTCCTCTACAGCTCTTGCTCCACCTTATTCCCTTGTGACAGGGACTTACACTAAACGTTAAAACCTGAAGCTCACTGTTTTTGCTAGGCTGGTTGTCTTGCGAGCTCCTGGTATCCACCTGTCTTTGCCTCCCACTTCTGGGGTTATAGGCACACGTGGCCATGCCTGGCTTTTTCATGTGGGCACTGGGGATTTGAACTCAGGCCTTCATCCTTGTATGCCAAGTGCCCTAACCCACTAAGGTACACCCCATCCCCAGAGGTATCTTCATCAGTTCAATCGATGATTCTGGGATTGAAAATGACGAACATGGGCAGCACGCCAATCGCTTTCTCTTTACTTCTCTCAGAATGCCAGGAGAACATAGTAGATGTCACTTTGTTGATTGTAATTTAACACCGCAGTAGTGACCCCGCCCTGCCATTAGGAATCTCAAGGAGTTGAATTTTGAGGCAGAATGGAAATAAAAAATAGAAATCATGAAGCCACCCTCTAACATTAATAGAAACAACAACAATTAAAAAGGCTTACCTTGCAGCCTTCACATGTAATGACACCGTAATGGATTCCTGACGATTTGTCTCCACAGATCTTGCATGGAATAATTTCAATTTGAGCTGCAACAGAAGCACGTAACCAGTTAATTACATTTTCTTTAAACACCTTATAAAAGCGTTCCCCCATCAGCATTTGTATAGTGAAAACTAATAACCTGCTAAACATTATCCTGCATTAACTATTCATTGCTGAACTGTGAGGGTCCCCCTAGAGCCCTAGACTAAATTATGGCTGCTCGTTATATAATAGCTTTTGGGTTATTAAAATGGGTCATTTGAGAAGGTGTTTAAGAACCCACAAGAAGACTGGAATCAGCATCTCAAAGGCTTCCAGAACTGGAGAGTTGGCAGTTCAGGCCTCAGAACCAAGCAGATACTAAAAGGTCTCTCCTCCTCCCCTCTCATGCCCATCTCATTTTCCATCATTATTTTTAAAAGGTCATAAAACTGTCTTGGCTGAGCATTGTAGCTCTTGACTGGTAGAGAAAAATATACTCCAAAAAAGTCAGGTCTACTTAGGAAAATGATTCAATTCAAAATATTAATAAGTTACATATGATAGCAAAGATTCCTTACTCATTTTTTAAATTAATGTAGTTGCCATGTGTTGAAAATTAGTTCATTTGTGTATAGTCAAAACCTTTCAACCATAAAGTTAATATCCTGCCTGAACTTAATAATGATGAATTTTGGTAAATAGGCTAGGTTACTTCTGAGGTTTTTTTATTTTTTTGATGATGGAATTGATTTTTTGCTACACCATGTATATGTTTTTGTCAAGTTGATTATTTAAAGGTGCCTGATGCTGGAAGACTCACCAAATGGTTAACATATCACACCAAAGTTCTAAGTTCTTACCAGGCACATTTCTAAACAGACACCACAATGTACTTCATATCGAGTTAGAAAAGTCGTAAGAACTGAACATAAAGAATAGCTATGTAGGCAAAAAACAAAACAACAATGAAAAAAACCCACATTTAACTCATCTACTTTCTTCTGTCTTTTTGAGACAGGGTCTCCCTGTAGCCCCAGCTGACCTGGAACTCACTATGTAGACCAGGCTGACCTTGATTTCACAGAGATCTGCTACCTCTGCCTCCTGAGTTCTGGAATTAAAGGCGTGCACCACCATGCGTGGCCAACTCATCTCATGAATAGACTTTATATGTGAAATCAGGAGGATCAAGGCTGAGTTGAAATGACGGTGATGGCCCCCAGTTTATCTGGAATATTTCATTGTGCTACAAGTTTTTTTTTTTTTTTTTAACCTGATATCACCATGGCACAGTATCTGCTAAGGTATACACATGGACATAATTGCAAATGCCCAAGTCGATTTCATTTCTATGCAGCATCTAGGCAGCTTTATGTCCCACAAAGCAATGAACCCATCCAGGGACTCTGTCAGGAGATGTGAGCAGAACACACATGCATACAGCTTACTGTCTCTTTTGGTGCAAGCCCCTATCCTGGGATACGTTTTATAACCACTGACTTTGGACTTGATGCAATGTTGTATTCAATAAATGAAGATCCTGGATTTAAACTCATAATAAACCATGCAGCCTGCTAACTGCTAACTCCCTTCCAAGAAGACAGACACAAGCACTATGGTGACTTCCAGCTGTTCTAGAAAGAGACCTTTTCCTATGTATCTCTTTAGTACCAGCATGCTGTGTCTACTTATCTCTTTTTCCTCTCTCTCTACATATATATGTTAACGACTCATTTTTATTTATATGTGTGTGCCTATGTGTACGTGAGTGCAGTTGTCTATGGAAGCCAGAAGATGGCGTCAGATCTTCTGAAGCTGGAGTTACAGGTGATTGTGAGCCACCTGACATGGATTTTTGGGAACCAAACTTGGGTCCTCTGGAAGAGCAGCAAGCCCTCTGAATTGCTGAGCCATCTCCCCATATTTAAAGATTGGTCAAAATCTCAAGTGTGTTTGATGTCACCTGGAGGCCTTTTTAATACTTCACAATGGCACTACTATGCATGTTCTGAGTTATGCAACTTAATATGTTCAGGGTTGCGTTGAACAGAACTGTCCTTTCTGAGTTTGCCTCTCCATGCTCATGCCTTGCTTGACTTCCTTGGGAAACATGAAATGTGAGGTTGCCTTATATTGAATGGTCCTCCAGTGTCTCCAACAGAGTCATGGGAAAGTGTTTTGCAGTAGCAGTGTTTTTCAGATTCACAAAAGTCAAGGGCTAGAGAGAAGGATATCTAAAAAGTGTCATCAGCTGACAGTTATAAACTGGGTTTTCCCACATGAATTAACTAGTCTGTAATGAAAATTGGCCTCCTCTACTCTGACCTTTGAGGAATAGAATAAAGAGGCCGCATGAAGTATTCAGCCCACCTATGAAACAGACTTTATCTGTGAAATAAAGATGACCAGGCAGGAGCCTGCCTCTGTTTCCACCTCAAGCTATAATCACAGTAATGAGATGAGCAGACTTCTTTAGGCCCCACAGTTTATCAGCATCAGAATCACTTGAGGCAATTAGAGCATCACATGTCTTAAGTTTGGGCCTCTTAAGAATCATCCTCAGGGGCTGGGGAGATGGCTCAGTGGGTAAGTGTTTGCCTTGAAATCCTGATGACTGGAGTTCAGAGCCCCAGCACATACATAAATGCTGGGTGGGGTGGGTGTGGCAGTCTGTCTATAATCCCAGTGCTTGGGAGGTGGAGACAGGTAACTCTAGAGCAAGCTAACTAGCTCAATCAGATTGCTCCAGCTTCAACCATGCCTCAATATACAAATAAGGTAGAGAGCAGTTGAGGAAAATATCTGACATCGACCTCTGGCCTCCCCATGCACGTATACACATGTGCACCCACGCATATGCATACACACATACATGTGCAAAATAACAGAAAGAATCATCTTTTCATCTTAAGAATTGGAGACATGTACATTAGTTCTGTATAAGAATCTGAAGGCTCTGGGTAGGCCATCTAAGGAAGCTGAGTTACACTATCTGGATTAAGCGGAAGGTGGATGCTCTTGTTATAACCTCTGTGCTCTGGGTAGACTAGGAATCAGAATTGAGGTGCTGGTGCTGCAGGCAGTGGCTAACATGCCTGTGAAATGTTCCAGTACTGCTATAAATTAAAGATAGGAGGTCTGGTGTTCTACTTGCTATGGGGAAATGGAACAGAAGTGCCATCCTGACCCTTGTACTCCCCCTTGGAATGGCTCATAACCTAGCAGGGCGTTGGCAGAGACCTAGACTCAGGCACCTGGTGCTGCTGCATCAGGGCTGGGGGGCCTGAGTCAGACTTCTGTACTCTCGGTCTTCAGCCTTGTGTAAGTTCTAGCATCTTTCAGATCTCAAGGCTATCCAAACAGGCCGATTGCATAAGATACACGGAGGCCACAAAGCTAAGAATGAACAGACTCACGTAGACTCATTTGCATGTCCAACTGGGGGCCATTCCCCTAGACCTTTGTCCCACCATGTTTATGCTTAGCTCCAGTGTGCAGATGTTGGCTAAAGAATCAGAATTGATTAGAACAAGCCTCCCCAGGAACTTCCTAGGCAGGGGACCCAAAGGTCTCTGCAGAGCAAGGTTCAATTCTTCTGTTGGGTCAGATTAAACTGCTCTGCTAGTTGACCCCCCTGCACAGCTCTCTTATCTCAGATGACAATTTCAGTCCTGAGTGCTCTTTAGGAGATGACTAAAATGCACCTGCTCCTACAGTAAGCCCTCTGAATGCCATCTGATCACATGTTGACATTCCCACAGCAAACATTCGCAGCCTGGAGCTGGGCACGTACTCACCCCTGCACTGACTCCTCCAGTGCGCAGAAGCCCTCCGCATCCTACTTATACTCAATTTACAGAATCAAATGAATCAAAGTGAAGAACTGTAGTCAATGCCTCGCAGATTTTTCAAAAGGATGGAGACTTAGTCCCATCAATTTGAGTTTTCAATCCAACAATAAGGATAAAAAACCCTTTGCCCTCCATCCCTTCAGCTTTTTCACTCTCTACTAGGAAATGTTGTCTTCTCCAAATGATATTCTTTCAACACAAATGATGCCTCTTGCCCCTGTATCTACCACACACATGGACTCAGCCTGCATTTCAAAGGAGATCAGGCGGCTCCACTGTCAACATGCACAAATTATATGACTGCATTAGTGCACATGCCAATCCCTCCCAGCCAGGCAGCTTACTCTATTAGGTATCCAGAAAAGACACAGCTTCGTGGATCAGCTTCACAATGAATAATCTTACTACGAAAATTTCTCATTTGCCCACAAGTTTTTTTTTTTTTCAGCCCTAGTGCCTAAATAATTTGCTCTCTTGTGCACCTGAAGTAATTTAAGCAGGCTCTTCACACCTGGGGATGCAAATTTCTGGAGCTGACAAGTGATAGTGGGTAAGAGGGAATGCCAGCATGCTAATTAGCCATGCGGTCCTCGAGCAGGGCAGCCATTTAGCACTGTGCTAACATTAAAAAGAACCTTTTTATTTTAATTATAAAAGGGCAAGAAAATGGCCAGCGACATGCTTAACACCTCGCTCATTTCTCAGGACCTATTCTGGGAGAGACATGAGAACGATGACTATTCTCTCAAAGAACTGAGATGGCCACCACTTCCTTCTAGTGGGAGAAGACTTTTCTTGATAGCAAACATTACTCTGGGGCTGGCAAGATGGCTCAGCAGGTAAAAGGTGCTTGCTGCCAAGCCTGATGACTTCAATTGAATTCCTGGGACCTATATAGTAGAAGGTGAGAACTGACTCCTGCAAGTTGTCCTCTGACCTCCACATGCACATCAGGGGACACTCATGCAACCCCCCCCTCAATGTAATAAAAATTATTTCTCACCATACTGCACTGCCATGCTAAAGCATCTGAACAACAAGCTCAGTGCGATTGTTCTTAGTGCACAATCCTTAAGGGAGTAATTTGGATAAGCCTACCACAGCCTACACTATCTAGGAACCAGTGTCAATATCCCTTCCTAGGAGTTATCTGTGTTTTGAACTATCTTCTCAATTTTGCAAGATTCCAGGTAGACTATTTGACCTTCAAA